ATGGGCCATGAACTGGGTTTCATACAACATGTTTAAATAAAAGGTTGTTGCATTAATGAACATGTTTGCTGCCAGATACATTTTTTCCATCTTACCATACAAGTATTTGGGTTCCTGGGTGGGGTTCGCATGTCAAGAGCACCCATACAAGAGTAGTACTACTGTAGTACTTGAAGTACTACAGCCTGTGGGGAGGCTGTAGACCTATGTTCGAGAAGCTAATGAAGGACTGTAACCCATGGGATGGACCTGTCCTGGAGCAGGGAAAGAGTAAGAGGAGGAAGGAGTGGCAGAAACCACAACTCCCACTAAGGGACATGGGGGCTAGGAGACAAATAGGGGAATAATGAGAGAAGTTGAGCTTGGGAAAGGGATATAAGGGAAAGTGATTTTAGTTATGTTATTATTTCTCATTACTCTCTTATTAATTAATAAATTAAATTCCTCAGGCTGTTTTTTGTTCCTGACAGTGATTGGTGCGTGATCTCTCCGGTCCTTATCTCGATCTGTGAGCTTTTTCATTGTGTTCCCTATGTCCTGCTGAGGATGGGAATGACAGAGCCACCAGGTGGGCACCTGGAGGCCAGCCAGGGTCAATCTACCACAGTCCACATCTGGATCTAAATGGATGTCTGCAGGAATAATCCTGGTGTCTTATAGTATGTTTTTGGGGAATTTTAGGAAAATGTGCTTTCACACCAGATTATCCTCCAGCTGTTTTTTCTGTCAATATTAACCCCAAACCGTTGTTGTCCTAAAAAGGAAGAAATAGAAGATAAAGGAGAAATTTAAATTATATATGTTGGTACCTAAATTCGGGTGCAATAATGAAGCAGACAACTGTATTAACCTTTCTTTTTTCCTCCAGACTTGTGGTACTCTTTTGAACATGTTCCTTGCAGAGAAATTTCCTTTTGTCTCTGTGGAACTGGAGTGTGCCATGGAGTTAATAATGAGAATATATGATAGCTTTTTGTGCCCTCCTTTCACTGTTATTTCACACAGAGGAAACAAAAAGCCCCGAAGTGATGTTTGCTCAAAAATTTTGAGGTCACAGGGAGAGCCACTTCATGCTGCTGGATTGCATCAGGCTAATTAGTGCACTACCTGAGAAGCAATATAGGATATATGTTTCTTACATTTATTGGGAGGTTACAGGTCAGGGGAAAAGTAAGCCTTGTATTCCATTGAGGAGTGATGGATGGAACAGAGTAAATGAGGATTGCTGGGGTGGAATGCAAGCAGGGTCTTTGTCAAATGTATCATCATTTTGGTCATGCGTTGCTATTGCTGTCCCACACAGGGCTCAAGGTTGCCTCATATTCTTGTGTCATCTGAATAAAGGTTGGGGAAAAGTACTTGAATGTGATTCTTTCAGAATAGACTACGTTTTTAAGGGCTTGGCCCTGTTGGAAGTCAGTGTATTTATTTGCTTCCTGCAGCAATGGTTACAACTAAGCAGCCATATTTGTTGTATTTTGGAAACTGTAGTGAACTACAGATTCTTAGGAGTGCCCAGGGGTGATTTTAAAGCGAACCTTCCTTCCTGTTTCTGTCCCCTTCATCCCCTGGGGATGGGCTCTGAAAGAAGCAAAAGGAGAAACCCTTACAGGGTGTTTGCCAAGTTTGTGATATCGGGGCTCCCTCTAGTGGTGACACCTCTGCCGGGCTCTGCAAGTTGCTGCTCTCCGCCTGTTTCTCCTCAGTCCTGATTTTTTTCCCCTTTCCTCTAAATCCCACATTTAGTTCCTATCTATGTTAGCTCTTTAACTTTTTCACGTATTATACGTAGTGGTAAAGGAAAAACGTTTGATGTTAAAGCTAATGATTAAAAGAAAATGGATACAAAAGCACACGTGTAACCACTGCCATTTCCCACATCTCTAGTGTAATCTTAATTTAACTGTGGCTTTGAGGTGGAGATTTTTAATGTTAGTTCTTAAATTAATCAATGGGAGTCAGATGGAAATGGAAAACATGCTGACAGTGCTCAAAAGTAGTGCTTACCAAGTATGAGATGGCAGGGCTGCTTCATAATCTTTTCAAAATCCTTGTCTTGCAAGATCTGTATGTTTTTAATCTATCTGCCTGAGACATGCACTTGCTACATGGTCTGAGTGGCAGTTGTACATCTAGACTGAATAGTGTTGATCAGTGTCCAGATGCTGCTGTTAGATACTGTTGGATCAGTAATGATGACTTTGCTAGAAATCAACATTAGAGCTACTTTTCTTTCAATCTGATACAAGTTGTACTTTCAGAAGGAGAAACTTTGAGCCTATGCATTACTATGTCATACTTTTTGTTATATGGAAGCAGAATTGTTTTTAGTTTACTCTCTGTTGTCTTCTGTTACTTGTTATTCTGTTCACTAAATAATTGGAATAGAAATGTCTCTTAATGAAGAAATGCCATGTGTTCTTTGTAGTATAACTGTCATGAGTAAAGCAGAATGCATTTGTTGCCAGAGGCAGTGGGGGTCTTTGCTACCTCTTCACAAGTGCTTCTTTCACTTGTGTATCATCACTGTCCTAGAAGTTGCTGACCAGTAAAAGCTGGCTGTACAGCCAGGACATTATTCATTAACTCTGGCAGAAAAGACAAGTAAGTATCCTGTCATTGAGTGTGGAGACAATGACAATTTGTAGGGCATATCTTAAAAGTATGTTAGCACTTCTGAGTTACATTAGTGTTTTTATTACTAGTGGATAGGATTTGTCTCTAGAATGGTCCATTTTCCTACCATTTAGGAGGAAAAATTGGGTGAAGGCTAAAACAAAGTAATTGCATCATTGGAGAGCATTGACATTTGATTGATTCTTACAGGTGCAATTACACTGATAGTAGATGACTTGCTTTCTTTGCCAAGGTTGAGTACAGTGTTGCCAAAGATCTGAAGTGCACTTTGAGTATATATTCCAAAAGGTGTCCAAGATACAATGCCATCGGTTTGTGGCTTCAAATGTCAATGAAGATACACCTTGCTAGTGAGGAAATGCAGTCTTTCTAAAAGCCTGATAAAACTATGGGTAGGTTATAGTATAAAAGGAAGAGGTCCATGGAAGAGTCCATATAGACTTCTTAATGTATTTTCCAATGTTCTTATTTGCATTATGAAATCAAGATTGAATTTACTATTTTTTTAGTCTGTTACAGTGTATTATTTGAATTTCTTGTCAAATGTATTTCAGACATCTCATTTGAATACCTTGAATGGTATCTTTGTACAAATGCAAATAGCTTCTTCAAAATGATTATTGTCTTCTATTCAGTAAGTGCCAATTCGTACAAAAAAAAAAAGGAACTTGGTAGACTGGAATTAAGGTTGTTTGGGCGACTTTTTTCCCTTGCAATTTTTTTATTTAAGCTGCATAGCATTTATATACATAATACAGATATTACATATAATTTTTTTTCCCTATTCAAGGGTGGATAGATGCACAATTTCACCTTTTGTCTGTTGCAAGTTTGTGTGCTAGAAACAGAAACTTACTGTGGATTTGTCTATAGTCTGAAATGTGTAAATCACTTCTTTTTAATAAACTTTCTTTAAAGTTCTGGCCAAGATTTGTGATGTATTAGTGCATGTTGATTTAAGGAATTACTGTTATGATTTCATCTTATGTTGTTTAGCACTCCCATGAAAAGTGTGCAATTTAAGTAATTTACTAATAACTTATATTTAATAATATATCAATCGCTGGGAAGTACTAAAATTGGAGAACTTTGGTAGCTTTAGTAAAAGAAATGTAACTATCTGACTTCTAATATTATTCTGGTTATTTTGACAAAATTCTTTAGGTTTCTGGCTGTATTTTATACCACACATATATAGTATGTATATGAATAGTGGCGTTTGGTTATTTGGCTGTAAAGTGGGAAGTCGGGAGGGTCCTGCTCAGTGGTGGCACTTTATTGTGATGGATGTAGTCAGAGCTGCAGGAATGAAAAGGTTTTGCCCCAGGGATGGGSCCAGTAATTACTGGTGTAATGGCAGCATGGTTCCTGGTAATGCAGAGTGCCAGTCACCAAACAAGGCTTGTTAAGTGCTTTTTACCAGTGTGAACTCTTTTGCTTTTTATTGTTCACTCCCAGCTAAGGAAGTGCTTATGTTGTGTAGTTCCTGTCTGGCTTCCAACATAGTAACATTTCTCATACAAAAGCCGTGTCATTGTGCCAGAATTCTGCTGATGCTTTTAAAGATCAAGGTTCCATGTAATATTTGTCKAAACTGACTTGCTTATCTTTTTGTGTTCTGTTACTTTATTTTGCAGTCCTAATAAATGTTCTTGGCAGGGAAAGACAAAGTGAAGCCAGATGTAGTTTGAAAATGTCTTGGTGTCACAAATAATGAATGAATGGTGTATTTCATTTAAAACAGGAAGCTCACTCCATTGCATGGACTCTCCCTACCCCATTGTTTCATATTTGTGTCACCGATTTTATAATGGAAGTTACAGGAAACAGTGATCTCAGGTGAAACCTACCTGTACTTCTTGGTAATCATGAAATGTCTYTGTGCTGTCATAGATTCCTTGATTTGTTAGATCTTCCTTGGGTTACATAGTAGAAGCAAAATGTTCAAAATTCTTTTCAACACCAACAAATTCCACCCCTCTGCTCATTTTAACGTCTGTAACAAAAACCAGTCTTCACAGTAGCTTCATTATTAGTTATTACCATAAAATGTTATTCTTCAAATTAGTGACATGGGTGGGATGTGTAGCAATTTGGGAAGTGCAGAGTTACAAAATTTCAGGAAGTAACTAAAGGTTTCCCAAATAGCTTTTTCTGTACTTTGAAAGTATTTTCACAAGTTGTTTAAAAGTGTAGTTTCTGCATTCTTCCTTTTCTCTAAATAACCCAAGAATGCCTTTGCCAAATATTTTTCATCAAGTTTATGGATAGTGACAAAACCACGATACATGCATACTGTTTTTCTCAGTATGTGCAAAAGTTCTGAAGTTTGCTAAGGTTTTAACCCTTGTATTTTATTCCAGAACTTGTTTTTCAGGTTTACTCTGAATTTTATATAGACTTACTGCAAGATGCAGAAATTAGAGGCAAAGGTACGGTCATATAAAGTAGTATCAAAATAATTATGTAAACTTCAGAGGTTTGTGTACATGTTTGTATGGGCTTTAAGGTACAGTATAAAATTATTACGCAGGCTGTTTTTCTTTTAGTTTCTGAAGATGTKCTTTCTTGTATGGAATTTTCATAAAGCTGCTAAGCTTCCTTCACAGCTGCATCATGTTCACAGGCATTCATTCTAGGATTGAATAAAAGTAGTCTTGTTTTCTTCTTTTACTTCCGTATGATCAGGGAGGTCTATTTTTTGGCAAAAATTATACCACTAGTTAAAAGTGTGATGGGCATTCTSCGTATCAGACTCCATTCCAGTGACAGTTCCACAAAGACATTCAGATTTGCTATTAATAATACCTTTTATAAGTAAGTTACAGTGACAAACTTCTGTTTTTTTCTATGAAATTACATAACAACAGTGGTAAATAAAAAGTGTAGTTTTTATTCCTCTGCCTTATGCAGTGAATAGATTCAATTTTTAAAAATTATCATGATTGTCATCATAATCATTATTTAGGAGGCACCAGTAGATACAATAGAAAGTGTTGAAATTTTTAGGAAAATTAATCCACAAACACCAGAGGTTTATGGCCAAAAAGGAGACAGAGGAGTCCCGCAACTTTATTCATGAATAAAGGGAGAGGTCATGGGCATTTCCCATGGGGTCTCTCTAATTCATAGAGGATGCAGCCTCTTTTTATCCTAATTTCCTGGCCACAGTTCCCTCTCTCTTTCCCCATTGGCTGAGGTACTTGAGAGTTACAGGCTCCCTGAAATGTCTGATGAAACCTCCCCTTCTATCATACATTGCCCCCTTTCAATATACATCTCTGTGTCTCTGCTCTTGTACTCTATTAACATAGTCTGGGCTAAGTCAATCAAAGGAATTCCTATGGAAATCCTTCCCATTGTTTTCTTCTATTTCCCAGTACCAGCCTTATCTTACCCCCAGAGTTAGTCTGCAAAGACACTCCCTTCTCATTCCTTTCAAAATTATCTTACTGTGCTAACAGCAGCAAATAATTGACTTCCATTGTTGTGTATGTAGTGTGGTCCTATAACCCATAGTCCTGAGGATGACAGGAAGGAATTTGTCCATTATGATCTGTGTGGTTTTTGTTTGTCTTTCTTCAGTTTAACAATTAAAACCTTGAGATAGTAATAAGTAAAATATAATAGTGAGTGAAATGTTGTGGCAACAGCCTCTTTGATGTGAAGATAGTGAGAATAGGCATGAAGAGGGAGTTAGGGTGGCAAGCTGTAGATTTAGTAGCTTGAGAAGAAGTAGTATGTTAGTGTTCAAGTTTTGACCTTTGTATCACTGGTGAGGGATCAGTTGAAGGATGGGTTGTCACTCTCCATCTACCATCTAGTGCCTTACAGGTTGTTTTTACCCCAGACTGAAAGTTCACTTCTCTGTGTTTACTGCTCCTTTCACTTTAAAGGAGCAAGTGAGCAATGTTCCTGGCAATGTCACCACAGAAAAGCATGATTTTAAAAAAGTAARGTTTTCTTTACAATCAAATTGTAAAATATTGATAGCCTCTGCATGATTCAAAAAGTTATAGCATGGCAGTCTTCTGTTAATATTTGATGATAAATGTACCTAGAAAGGCAGCAGAATTCTTTTGAAATGCCATGCTGGTTATCAAGTGCTCTCAAGATAAATAAAAAACAGTAGAGAATTAAAGCACTAAGCCAGAKGAACATTGAAGAGCTTTCTCCTACTTTAAAACACTTGTAAGATTCATTCAACAGGGAATGCTTTAGTTTGATGTCAGAATTGGAGGGAAGGAGAAGCTGAGGTAATGCTGCATCTAACCACCATCAAAGCCTGCTAAGAGAAAGCAAAGCAATTCAAGAGTTGCTGTTGTATAGTAACTTAGAAGTGAATAACTTTGACCTTCCTAATGCTGCCATTAGGGTCAGCAGAGCTGCTCTCGGTTACTGTGCCTGAGGGCCAATTGTCTTGGTAGGGAATAATAATGTGACCAACTTCTTGTAAGAAGTAGTGAGATGAAGTGGAAGCCAAGGAGAATAGAATGTGCTGAATTTCAGCTTGCATTGCAAGAAACAAGAAGAAAAAGATGAAGTCCTTCTGACTGCTGATAGGTTTGAGTTCAAGCAGTGCTTCTGTGCAGCAAACTGCAAAGGAAGTAAAAAAAATTCTTCAGGCTTCTACTTTTTGTGAACAAATAAGCAAAACTTTCCTTTATCTCCCTAAAGACAGGAGACACATCATCAGGGCTGTGGAAACACATCTGCTATACTTTAGCTGCTTTTCCCCTTATTTAGTTTAAGTAAGCTTTGAAATAAGCTTTGAAGGTTCAGGCATTAGGCCTAAAATGGCAGCAGTGAAATGAGGACATAATTAAATTCTTTTTTTTTATCTTACCATCAGACATTTCACTTTTTGACTATTTAAACAGTGTTTTAAACCCATTTGATTTGGTTGAATGCTGGCACACACATTTTATGACTTGAGCTCACATCAGTATTAAGATACTTTATTCTTCTTACAGTCRTAATTAAGTAACAAAGTTCAGTAACATTTCTTGCTCCTTATTTTCTTTCATGTCTGTGTGCTTAGAATGGGAAAGGAAGGATAACCAACCAAAAGTCAAAAACTTTTATTCTGTGGGTACAAGCTCTTGCTTGGGAATGGAACATCATTGTTGTCTTGTATTTGTTTATATCAAATCCATTCTTGAAGGCCTTTACTGTTTCTATAGGTGGCATTCATTTGTAAATGATTAAGACCCAGGAAACACAGATCAGTTTGAAGAGCTACCTGATTTATTTATTTTTCTTACTTAAAGAAATAAAATATGTAATCTTGATTGCTTATTTTCTCTCAATACTATCATTATTTACAGGTGTCTTGCTGTGTGTTGGCTAGATCTTTGGGTATATTATTTAAGTTTTGGAATGTGTCTGCAAATATTTCCTCAGCATATTGACTCCTGTAAATAATTACTTTTTATTACACTAAATAAATCCTAATTGAATGTTTGCTCCTTTATATGCAGTTTGTTCCATTTCAAAATTGTGAAAGTTCACGCTAGTTTTGCATAATAAAAATACTGGTCTAATTAGCTATCTTCCTTAATAATGCACAGTTTTTCGAAGGTGCATTTTGCTGATGGTTCAAAAAATGTACCGTCTCTCTTTTTCTTCTTTTCAGATTTATCCAAGAATAGATTAACTGAAGTTCCTACGGAGCTGTGCCATTTTGTGTCACTGGAAACACTAAATCTATACCACAATTGTATTAAAGTTATACCAGATGCCATAGTAAACTTGCAAATGCTAACTTACTTAAATTTGAGGTAAGTGTAACTTTGTCACATTTTTTTGTTAATTTGGAAATCTGTAAAACTTTTCTTGTCTGCACTTTATAAGCTTCTGAAACAATTGACTCTATTTTTCATTTTACTGAAAACAGTAATGCCAAAGTTCGTTGGCTACAGAGACCGCTTTTTCTGAAGGCATCATAAATGCCAAAATGTGAAAATAATAATTAAAAGAAAAACCAAGTAATATTAATCCAGTTTTCTTTCCCTTATTCTAACAAATTCAGAACATCGATCACATCAGCACAGTTTTATTCTTCGAATTCACTTCTGATAACAAATTTGTAAAACATGACATACATTTTGTAGTTAAAAAGGTGGAGGGCCAGAGACAGAGGATTTATCTTTTTCTCCATGGGGAATGGAATGGAAGAGTGTGATACCGTATCTAGCACTAGTGTAGTCATATTGTGAAAGAAACACAGCTGCTGCCTTTTTTAGGAGAAAGTGGAAAAGAATTAAACACCTTTCCCTCCTTTCAAGGAAAAGCCTGTGTGAATACTAATCAATACAGAGAATAGCTGCTAGTTAAAGTGCAGGTGAATGCATACATGCATTGATGGAGGGCAGATGAGCCCTTTCTCAGCTGGGGCAAGTGTGGAGTTTCCTTTGCAGTTAACTGTCAAAGCTGTAACAGTGAAGATAAAGTCTGGGCTTTGGGAGAAAAATGTCTGAATAGAGGGTGAAGTGACTCTTGATCTTTTAAATTCAAGGTATGAAGGTTTGGTCATCAGTTTTATCAACATAGAGGATCTTTCTCAAGTCATTCTGTTTTATTACTGTACTGCAGTTTTGGCCACTGGGTAACACTATTTTGGCTCTAAAGATTGAGGTGTACTAGTGTGTCTTGAGTATCTGCACACATACCAGAAATAGGATTTGCGATTTTGAGTTAGTGTTTGTTAGACATACATAAAGAACTTAAAACTGGATTAAATTATTAAATATACATAAAACATCGTGGTAAATTTTGGAATTAGAATTAACTCTGTTAAAACTCAATGTTGTGAAACAGTGAATTAGAACTCAGTGTAGTGATAGAATTTGTCTAAGTCATCACAAATCTATAATAGATTTATATCATGTATGACAGTAAATTGGAAAAAATGAAAGTATTATTTTTGTTTTATTAAGTAAGGTTWATTTCTCTCAGTTTAAAATCCCCTCTTCACTTGGATGTGCCCTTTCCCATGTTAGCTGAATGTAGTGAGCAGTCTAAAGAAGGAAATACATCCTTGACTTTCTAGCCACATTGTTTCTTGCCAAGAAATACATGATAGATTTAAAACGAATATTTTTCTGCCTGTTACCAGCAGAGCCCATATGTTAAATAGCATTAGAAAGGGATGCCAAGAGATCTAAATATAGTCGTTGGACCTTGGTGGATACTGTTCATGTTTTATTTAAAGAAATTCCTTTTAAACTAATGATGATGTATTACTCATTTGCCCTGATAAAGTTCTGTTCCTTATCTCTTAGTGGGTTGCTTCTGAGTTCTGTGGAGCTTAAAAATTGTTTTTACTTAYTTTTTTATCTGTGTCTGATCTGCTGATCTGTGGCATAGGGTTACTGTTTTAGGGTCTAGGCTTCCTCAATTTGAGTTCTTTAGAACTTAAAAAAATATTTCCATGTAATTTTTTCGATGAAGTTGTGTTTTGGTCTTCTGTAGGGGCGCTAGAGGTAAGAAACCTGGCTCCACAATAAGCGCTGATACTTTTTTTCAGCTGCTGCTGGTTAATAGTTGGATTTCTCATTTTTATTTTCTTTGGGTTTGTTGTTTGATATCCATCTGTCTCCTGGCCTATGCAACAGAGATATGATGGTAGTTTGCTTTGTACAACATTTTGAGACGGTTTGTACAACATTTTTGGAGCATGAATGGGCATCTCTATGTGCAGCTTTGTAGCACAGTGCTGGATTGACAGTTGAAGAAATGCTTTGCAGTTTGTGGAATTTGTATTTTTGGTTTTGTTTCACCTTAACATTGCAACTCTTACTGACATTACACAGGACAGCTTTTGCCAGGTGTCTTCAGAGTTCAGTTGTACATATTTGCTGTCTGAAGCCTTAACATTAAGGCAGGAGCTAATTAAAATGTTTTATAGTGGGACATCACTTTAGGGTACTGTTTGTTGTTTTACTACAGGATAATACTCATAAGAGAGAAAATGTTTTATTTTAAGAAAACCTTTAAATATTCTAGGAAAGAGTCATTATTATGTTATTCTGACAAGCATGAAGTTTATTCTGGGAATTGAGCCATAAATCAGTATTTCTAATCATGTAGAGATCACAAAGGGTCACGTTTGTCATCCTTAAGTTCCAGCCTATGAATCTTGGGAAGAAATGAACCATTGATAGTCCCAGAAATTTTTGCTTTATTTAGCTGGATTACTTCAATAAAATCATAGAATAAGATGTACCAAGTAATCTTATACTCTCAATGTGCTTTCAAGTAATTGAGAAAATAGCCTTTTTGTCAGTATTTATATATTTGTCTTCCAGTTGGAACAAGAGGCGTCCATTTTAATGGCACATTAAAACTACAGGAATGTTTAAATACTTGTAAAATACTATTTCAGTTGACTTTCCTGTATTCATTAGGAAGGGAAGCAGCTGTTCCTGGTGGCAAACGGATGTGTCACAATGTTGTTAAACTGATACAATGCTTTTTTTTGCAGAAGGTACATTCCACAATATTGCTTAGTCAGTAATCAGGTATTTCTGATGTACAAGTGTTTAGTTGATGATTGCTGTTTGAAAATGTAAATTCTATTTGCATAAAATCTAACCCATGAAAATGAAGAAATTTGGCAACTCTCAGACTTGATGTGAGTATACAGTAGAACATCACTGATGGTTTTAATATTTTTTTGTTTTGTTGCAGTCGAAATCAACTTTCTTCTTTGCCAGCTTGCCTGTGTGGTCTTCCTCTAAAAGTCTTAATTGCAAGTAACAATAARCTAGGTTCCCTTCCAGAAGAGATAGGTCAGCTAAAACAGTTAATGGAATTGGTATGTTACTGATGTTTTTTGTTTTTTTTTTCCACTTTTTCTTTTGACTTCTTTTGAGTTTAAATAGAAACAGTAAAAGTCATTTTTCACACATATTTGAACAAGTGCTTCATACTGTAATGTAGGTTGAAAAACTTAAGTTTTTAATTTCTCAAGTGTGTTGGACAATAACACAATAAGAGTTTCTTATGTTCCTCAGGACTCCTTTCAACAACATCACTGTCCTTGGTTCATTCAAAACTCAGTTTCTAAGTTCCTCGCCTTTACCAGTTTTGCTCACTGCCTCCTCTGGCTCTCTGTTTCCCTGTATCAAGTTCATAAGTTATGGCATCAGGCTCTGCAAGTGCCTGCCTGTAGCACTTCCCCCTTCTGCTTCCTTTTTCTGTTGTTACTATCATCAGCTTGCCCCATTGCATTCCTCTCATGATACTGGTCTTATCAGTCTGTTTTCGTTTTATTTCACTGCATTTGTCATGCAACCTTCCTTTCCTGGAATATCCATCTAAACAGATCTACAAAATGATTATACTCCTCTTGTTTTCAAAGCTGTACACACAAATACCATTTCTGCAAGCAGTAGATCATTTGTGTTATATCATTCAGTCAGTGAGAGTCTGAAAAAGCAAAAATTATTTGGTGCTATGGCTTGAAATTAATTTAGTTGCACGTTTTTTTAAAGTTTGTGTGGAAAATATATATAAGAGAATGCTTCCCTTTCTTCCTCTTCTTCTACTATATTGTAGGCTGAGACTCTGAATTCTTTATGACATGAGTGTTATTTCTGTTCATTTTGACCTTTTGAGATACAAATTGAGACAAATAAACTACATATTGACACTGATAATTTATTCATAGTAAAACAACCAGATCTGAACTTCCTTTCAGCTGCTAATATCTCTGTTGACAGCGTTTACTTTGCTCATCAGTTCTGTATCTGAAAGTGCTTTATTATCATATTCTTGTTTTTCCAGTAGTAGTTCCTCCAATAAATTATGTTAAAGAAATTGAGCTAGCCTTGCTTTAGACCCCAGTCCTGCTATTGATTCTTCATATGTGGAGTAAAATGGCAACTGTAGGGCTTTTTTCCTTCTGGTATTCTTGAACAGCATCCTGTGGTATCAGGCTTCTGTTACATATTACAATTGATGTGGCTGTTGATGAGTATGGGGATAGTTACTTTTTCCTCTCTGGTTTGTGACTGAGCTTAAGACTAGCGAGTTTGTTTTGTTTGGTGAGCATTATTAACTTATTTTACCAAATGCTTTAAATTTTTTTGTGTGTGTGATGGGGTTACTAAGGTTACACAGATGGTTCTGAGTTAATTAATCTTTAAAAAATATGTTAGGCTGTAGCACTGGTTTTGTTGTGCGTAAAATAGATAAATTAAAAAAATAACAATAAAGGGTGATGGTTCCAGTTTTATAAATAAGTTCAATTTAGTAAAAAAAGTAAAAATCTAGAAGCTTGAAAATCAATATAGATTATACCCAAAGTAGATTGGATGTATTTTGTTCCAACGTACCATGTGTTTAAATTGGAGAATACTGGACTTCCATATTATATTGCACTTACAGTGTAGTTTCAGTATTACTATGTCATGAAGACCAATTCTAAAAGTATTTCATATGAGAGGTTCTAGCTACATGTCTCTTTGGTAGCRTAGAAGATACATGAAAACTGAAAAAGGTCTGATGCTTGCTCTTTGTGATTAGAAGGCAGCTGGGGGGAGGTGAATGAAGAACAACTTTTTGTAAAATGACCATGATTCTGTTCAGATGAACTGATTACACAGTTCGATGCCACCATGTGTGTTTGGTACATTTCTAGTGAAATGAGTTGCATTATTTAACTGGAAATGACCTAACTCTGATGTATTGGGAAGAGCAAATAGTGGTTGGATTGAGAGTGAGGATCTGTGTTGGCATGTGTAATTTGAAGCAGTTTAGATAATAAGATGATCATTGTTCTGAAATGAGTAAAAGAAACAAACAACATTAAGTCATACTGCAGTTGTTGCACAAAAAATTCAGCTTTGTCGGAGCAATGCCAGCCTGAATAGCATGGGATTCAAGCAGAAGCACCACCCAGCCCTCTGGCAGGGAATGCTGTTTTGGTGTGTACACAGTGCTGGTGCTGGCCTGGGCCAGGGGATTGTTGTGAGATACCACTGGCTCCATTCAGTTCTTGTATAAATAGAACATTTCTTAGCAACCGCAGGTTCTCCAAATGTTTCACAAGCTGCATGCAGTGAGATCTGTGTGTACATAGCAAATGGTTCTTTTTATCTATCTATCTATCTATCTATCTATCTATCTATCTATCTATCTATCTATCTATCTATCTATCTATCTATCTATCTATCTTCTTAATACAAAATTTATAGTTTCTCTAGAATGATAGAAGCATATTTTGCTGCAAATTAGATCAGATCTTTCCAATAAACTCTGCATTTCCACCCTCTCCTCCAAGATGGGGCAGGGAATGGTTTTTCTATTAAGTGTATGTACTTTTATTAATTTCGTACCTGTAGCATAGATTACTTTGATATGCAGAAAACTTTCAGATATTCTTTTAAATTTTGGGTTCTGACAGCTAACTTTGTGTTTATAACATAAATTTTTCTTCCTGCATAGCACATAGCCATTATGTGCAAAATTTGGTTGGGAAATATACTTTTGTTTGCAGCTCTTTAATTCAATCATGTCTCTACTGTCAGCCAGGAGAGTGCAACATTAGTGTGAAGATAATACGAAACTTACTTTCTGCCAAGGAAAAGTAATCGGGCAGAGATGGCTCATTAATTGTAATGCAGACTATCAGATGTACAGTAAAATTCTGTTCTCCGTTCTATCAGGCAGTATTGCACTTCTGCCTTCTTCATGTAAGAGCCCTCTCCATCTCTGGGATGTTCTCATGTTGGAAGCCTTCAAATTTCTCACCTGGGATTTATGTCCTTTGCCTCAATAATCTAATCAGGGACAGCAGCCTGACCATGTGGGACTTGCTACCTGCTGTTTCCTAAAAGGGTCACGTGTGTGCTCACATACTGTGTAACTTCCTTTTACTGTTCAGTATGGCTTCTATGTCACAAGCTCTGACTGAGTCCATGTGGTTTTTAGAAATAATGGCTCAGTCTGGAGTCCCAAGTTCAAAATTATGTAAGGAGGAAGTTTACCTTCATTTCAATGGTTTGGGTAAACTTCTGTGTGTGTATGTTATTATGGAGTCAGAGTACCATATTGTTTTTTTCTGTTTATATTGCTAAATATATATGCTGAATTTGATTGATTTAAGATTATTTGAACTTTACCATAAGCAAAGGAAAAAGGTTGATAATTTTAATTTTCTTTCATGCCATAGAAATTAAAGTTAAATTTAAATGCACCTTACATTTCTCTGATTTTTCCAAACTGTCTTGTTATGACGGGACATGGCCTATCTGGTAAGAAAAAAAATAGAATTAATGCAAGAAATCTGACCTCAGCAAATACTAGTTTCCCTTGGAACTTGTGTAGGTGGTTGTGCTTCAGTTACCTGCAAATGTCCCTGAATCCAGGTTCCAAACTGCTGGTTGTATTGTTCCTTAAAAAATTACTAGCTTGGAAACCATAGGAGTTTGACTCTGATAGTATTGCTTCCATTACTGCCAAAGTAATGGGAAAGTTAAACACTGTCTCTGTCACGTACATGCTCATGAAGTCTTAWGAGCATAATTAGGAATAATGTTATAGGTCTTTGTTTTCCATGGCTATTTAAACAAAATAATAAAAAAAGCATGTTGGACTACAGTGTTTACTTGGGTAAAAGATACTACTGTCTCTAGAGATCTTGTGAATGCTGACATGCTGTCACAACAGATCAATCCYATTGAGGATGTTTTGAAAGGCTGTAAGTGGAAGTGGACTTTGTTTTTGAGGTTACACACTGACAGATTTCTTTTTCTTTTGTTAGTACTTCCTCTAGAATTCTGTCTCTTCCCTTGACTTGTTCTGATGTATGTGCCTAAGTATGCCTTGGTTTAGAGTTTCTTTGCCACACGGTGACTTTAAATTATGTGCTCTGAAAATCAGGTATCTAATTATGAAGTCATTTAAAGAGTGTAAATTAAAAATAGGACAGTAAAGCTTTAAAAATAAATGATCTGGGAACAGTGCAATTAACCAAATTTTCTGCCAATTTGGGCAAAAAATGCACTCATTAGCTGGGATTTTTAATTTCCTTGTCTAAAAACTACAATAATATCCTGACTGTGTTTTGAGAAGGGAAGGAAGTCTTGGCAGCCGTAAAATTCCGTTACAAGAACAAACCTTTCAGATACAGGGAACAGCATTGCCAGATCACATTTTGCTTTTAGTTATTTTTATGTTAAGATTTTAGGCTTAAAGATAGATTTAATATAATGCTTTTGACTGGTATTAAGGCAAGCATCTTCAAAGACATGACTTGGAAAYCTGACTTACTTCTAAAGCTTTTGTTGTCTAAAAGCTCCTGGATACTTTATAAATCCATTTGAAACAGATGAGAGAGTAGAAGTATTCTGTTGGCTTTTTAGGAAAATTCGGCATTACCCCATTTAGCTTTCATACTGTGAAATACTGTTTCCTTCTTTTAATACAGAAATGAAAGCATAAATGGGAGATTACTCAAATTTGCAGGTTGCCTGGGATATAAGCAGAGGTTTCAGTGTCCTTTTGGCAGCAAAAATGATAGTATTTAACAATTGTCTCATTGCTGACATACTTAATCCAAGAAGTTGGTCTTTCATATACATTCATAGCAGTTTCTTTTTATAAATAGTTATATAACACTAAACAAGATCTGCCCTGTTTTATTATGGCTTACTATGTGCGATGATGATCACATATATGCCTTTACTGAGCATAATTAGAGAATGTCATTGCTGTACTGTTGTTATTGTTGTTGTTGTTGTTATTATTATTATTATTATTATTATTATTATTATTATTATTATTATTTTATTTTATTTTGCTTAAATATTCTATCTAGGTGAACAAGAACCTTTCTAAAAACTCAGATCCACACACTAGGATTTTAAATTTCATCCAAACATATTTGGTTATATAATCATGATACTTAATTTTTCATATGAAGAAAAGAACAAAAAAGTAGAACTTCTTAAGTAAATATTTGAGTTTTGAATATTTCTATAGAAATTAAATTAGTTTTCAAAATTATCTTCTTCAGATAAGAATTTGATCTGGTTTTAAGTAATGTGCAAACGTTTTTCCATATATCTTCCTTTGCATGGTGACTACAGGCATAGATTGTTGCATTTTTTTCATATTAATAAAATGTTACAATAGTAATAGCAAATTAACTATGTTTGTATTATGGAATATGTAAGAGCTGAAAGCTGATTGTTTGTTATTACTATTTTACTGTAGGATGTCAGCTGTAATGAAATTACAGCTTTGCCACAGCAGATAGGCCAGCTGAAATGTTTAAAAGAACTGAATGTCAGAAGAAATTACCTCGAAGTTTTGCCTCAAGGTAAAAACAAATGAACAAAAAAGTATCTCTACRCTAGCTCTTGTTAATACAATTTTCAAAGTATTTTTTAACCACATAAGTAGGTATGATTAAAAAGTAGTAATTACTTTGTGTTCAAATTTATTCCATTTGAGTCTGCAGAATATAACATTCAATGATATCCACTGAAGAACAGTGTGCGAGATTTCTTCAATGGCTCTCTATGATTCTAAGCAACTTTTAAGTTGAACAAGTGTTTGAATGCAGTATGAGAGCTGTCAGCTAAGTCTCAGGGGGAAAAAAATTCAAAGTATTTGTTTTAAAATGTATTATCACTTGTATAACAATAACACTCTTTTATTTCCCAGTGCATAATGGAGGAAATGTTGATCTTATTCCTGCCTGAGTTTGTATTTTTCCTGAATGCAAAAGAAGGGTTATTCAGAAATATTTTATTATTTTATGCTAAAAATAAAAACAGATATAACATCTTCTCTCCTTTTTGTTACTTTTAGAACTAGTACAGCTTCCCTTGGTAAAGTTTGACTTTTCCTGCAATAAAGTGCTTATGATTCCAATTTGTTTTAGAAAGATGGTGCAGTTACAAGTATTACTGCTTGAGAATAATCCTTTGCAATCTCCACCAGCACAAGTAAGTAACAGCTACAATTTAAGTTGTGCCTTAATATTGGATGACTCCTTCATCTGTCATCCTTCTGCAATTGCAGGCTTCTGAATTTCAATCATCACAGGCATCAGTTGTTGATATCTAAATAAGACATAGGGCATATGTAAATAAGACATAGAAAATRTCCTATGTTCTCCATACGAACTTGTGCACCACTTAAACCAACACACGTCTAGAAGTTGTGCATTCTGTTTGCTCTTTATTTTTGTCATTTCTGTCTGCTTTTGGAAGTTAACATTGGAATATGTGTATAATTTTGAAAAAGAGTAGTGATAAATTTCCTGCATAATTTTTCTTTCTGTTGAAAAGAATTCAGTTCTAGAAGGTGGTTCTACAGTTATTTGCCATTAACTTAAAAAATATGCAGATGGTCTAAAACATAATCCATGTGAAATTTATTTCACTTTATAGAGTAAGTTTGTAGATTGTGATACACAGAGAAATAAAACTCCTCTTTGGAACTGTAGGCTCTGCGTAATAAAGATAAATGTGTGGAACCTGTGCTTGCTGCTTAAGGACAATTTTGTTGTTGACAACAATAAAAACATAGATTCAAACTGAATCTGTGAAAGCTACGGTAGTTCTTGATCAATACCTGTTGAAATACTTTAGAATTTTTATTATATTGGAGAAATGCTTTTCATATTCAATAGTGATGTGGCCTTTAAATTTAAAAAATACAAAGCAAATTGAAGTGTGCACTGAAAGAAAAAGAAAATTGTAAAGTGAAGATAAAATTGCATGGTAAGTATGCTTTGGACTCTACTAAAAACAATTTGGCCAAGAATGCAAAGAGCACACTGGTTAATTAAATGTCATTATACAATAATTTTGAAAAATAATTAATGACACAATTTATAGTTAGCAATAGGCCATCCTGTATATTTTGATGTATTTTTTTTTTGAGTTAGAAGCTCATTTGGATTTTTTTAAAGCAGAATACATTATTTTCTTGTTTTCTGTCTTAGTCTCTGAGGACTGGTGTACACAAATAATCAAGTAGATAATTGACATGCTTAGTAATTTWAAAAAAAAACAATAAAATTTCTTTTCCTTTAAGTGAAATTTGTAATATTAAGTTAATTTGAGGGAGTTTTATGCTAAGTGACATTTGGAATAAGCTACTTTTTTCATTCTAGTTATAAACCTAACTTTTTCCTTGTCCCACAGATTTGTACAAAGGGTAAGGTGCATATATTCAAATATCTGACGGTACAGGCCTGTCAGATTAAAACAGCAGACTCACTGTATCTTAATGCCATAGAACCACAGCATTTGCCACAACCTGTGGAAGAGAGGTATGTATGAAAGTCTCACTTTGCTTTTTTGTGTAAAACTTACAAACAGTGAAATAGTATATGTCTTTAGATTCCACAGTTTTGTTTCTTTAGGTGCTATTTAGAGTGTACTTTTTTTGCAGATATTTTGTTTGCTTTGATTTTATTTAACTAAATTTGCTTTTATTCTTATGAATCCCCATAAGCGTTTAGAAAATTAAAAATCAGTTCTGGTTGAAGTTAGCAACACATTAGTTGAAGTTTAAAAGTGAACCTTAGTTTAAATCTAACCTCTTTCTAGTGGACTCGTGGAACACATTGAAAATAATCACACAGTAGTTACATTAGGTATTGAATCTATATAGCTATCAATCTCACATTATATAAATTTTAATTTTGTGTGWTATTTTGTGATTTATATGTTCTCACATATTTATGGCATAGTTATCTTAATCTTTTCTAATTCATCCTAAATCTTCTGTCAGACAAAGAGAACTGCATGAGCTGTTTTGAAAATGAAGTGTGCTGATTAGTTAAGAAAATGAGGCAAAATCTTCTGTGCCTTGCATCAGATTTGCAGGAAATGTCATCTTCTACCATGATTTAAGGAACTAGATACAAAGGAGCTCCTTTCTATGAGAATCTCCATAGCTGGTTGGAAATCAGTTAGTAGCTCAGTCTTTCTTTGCTAACATGGGCAGTATAATATAACCAATCAGAGAAAATATGACATCTTTGAATAGATGATACGAATAACGGTAGAGATGTTACTGCTAAAACCTGGGGGGGAAGACAAACAAGAGCTGTTATGGGATCTCCCTTTCAGTTATCGCAATAAGATTTCAAACAAATTGTTTTTCTTTATTTACCTTTGGAAATCCCTTTGGGAATTTCTATCAGAWAAATGTCAAAGGTGTTGTGGTTTTAAAGCCTGATTTTTCCCAATTTCCCAGCCAATGCACCAAAAAAATGTTGTGGTTTAGACTGTGCTGAAAGCCAAAAGCACTGCACCCAGGACATTTTCTCCCCTCCCCCCCACCAAAGAGGGAGAAGGGAAAACAAAAGCCCAATTAACACGAAAATTTATGGCTTTCAGATAACATAACGTAATTGAGAGAAAGATATGTATGTGCTCCAGAAAAATGGTCAGACAGGCTGAATAACTTAAGTTGCAAAAATAGATTTATTACTACAAACTATTGAGAATACTACGGCACCGGGGAGAAGAACAGAGATGGGGACAAGTTTACAAGGAGAAGAAAAATAAAAACCGGACATTTTGAGACACCTGTTATCCTTTCCAGGACCCGTCTCTTTCCCAGGTCCTCCCTCTCCACCCCCCATGTTTTCCCGCACACAAAGGGGGGCAGRAATGAAAGTCTTACACAGATCAAACCACTCATTACAGTTGTTGTCCAGCATCATAGGAGAAGCGTTCTTACAGCTCCAAGCTGTGGAAGTTTTTTTCCCAAGAGACAGTCAGTGTATAACTGCTGACGGCAAGGGAATATTTTCTTTACCTCKTAGGAGAAAAGAAAGAATGTCTTTCAAGGCCAAACTGCGTTGTTTCAGCAGCGTAAGACCACTATCACAAATGTCCTGGCAGAGCACAGCTTCTTCTAAGCGTCCACTTACTTCAGACATAGGGCGCGGGCATCTCCTCCTCCGCGCAGAGCACAATTTCTTCTCAGCATCAATTCATTTCAAACGTCGTGGGGGGGCCAAGCCTCTTCCCCCTTTTTGGCAGTTTAGTCCAGTCCTCAAAGGCCAGGGTTTTTTTTTTTTTCAGAGCAAGGTCGCTCTCCTTTTTCTATTCAGGTCTCTCTTTGATGAAATAGTCCTTTCAAGAACACTTATTTTCTCCATGCTTGAGAACCACAGCACAGCACAGCAACTCATCCCATATTCTCCTTACATGTGATCTTGAGTCTCCATTTTTCTTCTTACATCTCCTCACTCTCCTGCTCTGTTTTTCCCCAGTGCATGATATTAAAACTACATACTAACAACCTTAAAGCTACATGGCGGCCACCCCTATCTTGTTTTGAGTTCTTTTTTAAGTACAAGACAATACGTCATCACAGAGTTGTAACCAACCTGTGCAATTGGCCCAGGCCTGATGGGCAGCTTGTCCATCAACCTCAGAGCCATGATGGATTGGCTCTAAAACACAAGGAGCAGGACTCCTTTTGCTGGAGAAGGAGAAAATTTCTAGAACTTCCTCACAGCAGCCATCTTTGTGGTTTCTTGGTCCCATCCCCCCACCACCAAAAATTGGACCAAGTAAAATCATGACAAAAGGGAAGAAGAATCCAGGATGAAGAGTAGATTTTCCATTTGGGAAACTCCCACTGATGATTTGTTTTGTTCTTTTAGTATACAAGAAAATTGACAGGGATGCCATGTCCTATCTGATATTTTGGTCATTTTGAAGAATACTGGTGTCGTGGGTAAGGGGACAGTACAGAGTAGATTTCCAAAGGTAGTTTTTGCAAAACAGTCCTCAGTGTTTACTGTTAAGAGCTAATTTAATATTAGGATTAATTAATTGGATATCTTATTCATGAATCAATGAGGACTGATTAAATTCCTTTCTTATACTGCTGTGTCAATCTTATTTCAGTATCACAGCTTTCAGGATAGCAAATAAAGGGATAATAAACTACATTTAAAAAAGGTAAGGTGATGAGAGTATTGCATCTAATAGTGCACTTTAAATGAGTAGAGGTCATATTGGGTAATGAAACCAGGATAGAGAGCAGTTGCCATTATTACAGTAATTTTCTTAAAAACCTAAATTTCGGAGTCTATTTTAAGACACCAAAAGGAGGTTTCTGTGTTAATAATTACTTCAAGCTGCAGGGAGATATTAGTTCATTTTTAATGGATCAATGGTTACAATTAAATCAGTTGACTCCAGTTTGAGTTTTACTTTTTTAGTTGCTTCTCCCATGGCTAAATTGCTTCAGTTGGATTCCTGTGCTGCTTAGGTAGTAACTAAGCAGTTTTGCCTAGTGTATAGACAAAGCAAGCTGATAGCAGATGACTTCTGTTGTTTGATTAATCCTTAGGCTAACTAGCCATTCAGTCTGATTTGTCTTACCATCACCAGATTATAAATTTTTAGTATTTGACTGTGTTAGGCTATTTCATCTTCTTCCATTAAGGATAGTTCAAAATTTGCACTGATTTAAGTGAAACCAGGACAGAATTTGAATGTAAATGCTATGATAGTTTTTACTGATTTTTTTTTTTAATTCATGTATAGCATTGATGATATCTACCCAAGTAAAAAGGACTCAGATTCAGGTGTTGGTAGTGATAATGGTGATAAACGTTTGTCAGCAACAGAGGTAAGTTACCTGCATTTTGTGTCCAGCTTCTCTTCCAGCACTCATTTGACTGTCATAAGTTCTGTAATAATGTGAATAGATATTTAGGCAAAAACTCTGCAGCCGTATCCTTGACATGGATTTACGATAAGAAATGGCTAAAACAAAGATAAAAGGAGACTGGGAGTTTTTAAAATTTTTTTTTAAATGTTGTTGTCTGTACACTGTCTGGAAAAAGCAGTGAGGTACTTGGTTACAGATGGTTACAGATCTCCCAATAGTGAAAATTCTCTACAGTTTTCAGGCAGTTTACATAATCTAGAGAATGAGAAACTAGAATTCACATCTGCTGTTTGCAAAAAGTAAATATGCTAATGGGTTACAAGCTAATGACTTCTCACATATTTTTCTCTTTGACTGATCACTCTTTCCTGTTGCAAATTAACAGTACCTTGTCCCAGTATGCTCTGTGATGTGGTTATGGCAGATTGCTATAGTGTAGAAACTTCAGAAATTTTGCTAATCTTAGTGTGTTTAAATGTTTTGGCAGCTAGTCAATGCTGAAAATAAACCTTCAGGTCTTTTCCTGAACTTTGCTGTCTGACTAAGCAAAGAGAAACTATAGCTTTGTGGGACTAATGTTGTCCTAAGCAGTTAGAACTGACTTTCACAAAGGTTTGGGGTTTTTTTCTGAGGCACTGCTCACCTGAACAGGGCACTAAATCTAGGTGGAGTTAAACTGAATACATAATGATAGATAATAATTAGCAGTGTAAATCTGTGTTGATGATCTTTCTGAAATGTACAGTAATGGGATTTGTGGTCTGATCTAATGGGAAATATCTGGACCACAATAGGAGGATGACCTTGTCACTACTTAAAATAATTTTACACTGATTTAGTGTTTCTCTACTTCTTTGAGGAAAAGGGATTCTGTTTCTTTTGAAACAAATGTATGAAGAATCAAGCTTAGGTACTGAATTTACAGTTACTAAGAAGCAAATTGAACATGAATCCACTTACACACTAATTGGTCTTTTAAATAGAATAGCACTTAAAAAAACCCATGTGAATTTCCAAGTGTTTGGGCAAGTTTTGTGGTAGATTGAAGTGAAGCAGAATTGTTATGGTTTCTAACCAAATCTCTAATGGTTTTCCTCTAGCTGAAAGAGCATGGTGTCTGTTCAGAAACACCTACAAACTGTTCTGCCAATCTTAGACTTCCGGAAGCTCAGTTAGCTTGTTAATGAAACTGTTATCCCAGAATTTCCTCCTTAGCTATAAATACCACCTTTGGGAAATAGATCATCTTACCTGTGTTCAAAATGTAGCCATTGAAATTATGCAAAAAAATACTTTGAAGACTACTGACAGTGAACCAATAAGTTTTTAACARCACAAAGTTTATTTATACTAGAGTGATTTACTCATTCCATCCCCACCTGACTGCTGCTCAACTATTTAGGAGAAATAGATACTGAAATCAGTAATCCCAAATGCATTTGGTAGTAAATTTACCGCTCATTTTYCTTCTGATGTGACCTTTAATATCTGTGTTACACATGAGAATTGTGCAAGAAATATTAGCATGATGCAAAGGCAGGTTCACATAWGTTGTTACAGTCAGAAAGTTACATACCACACATTGTATAAACATTAAATGATCAGTCATGAAACAATCATTAAAATTTGTTTCTGGATTTTTCTTTTATGAACTAAACTATGAACTATGACTAAACTACTGTTTAGTCTGAAGGGTTGTGTTTCTACTCTTTTGTAGAATATACTACAGCTAATTTTTCATGTGTGTAACTTAATAACTTAAATAAGTCCCATGTGTGAACACTAMTGTAGTTTTTAAGAAGCTTGCAAATTGACTTTGGGTGAATACGCATAGGGCAGAGTACTTGATGAAATGAACTGTTTATGTATCTCTTGCTGACTGAGTAGGGTCATTACAGAATCTGTTTTCATAGCTATAGCCATCTTTCAAGCGGAAGTACTGTAGTAGTGTTGCTGTAAAATTGATCATTGCAACTTGAAGGCAAATTCTGCCTCAAGGCAGTGTACCATGTACCTCATATTTTAGGAAAAATGTAACATTTTGATTTATTTCCCTTCCTCCCTTTGACCTTGTTTTTGATTTTGTTAAAATTCATTAGAATGAGGTTAGAATGTTGTCTCTGCTTTATTATATGTATGAGTGATGCATTAGTACCAGCAGGAATGTAAATGAAGAATTTTTCAAAGGGCATAATCTGAATTCTATCTTAGAATAATGTTAGGTATTTTTGATTGTTATGTGTCTATTGTATTCTGTTGCTGTCTGAATAAAAAATAAAACCATGGAAGAAGGAAGTTTGATATGGTTGATTACCTGTGAAGGAGTGATACTTTTGTATTATACAAGGCTGCTTTGGATAGTTTTTGTTTCATACTATACTGGCAGGAAACACCTGGAAAATCAATTGCAGAATTTTGTAGGGCCTCAAAGTGAGACATAGCCTGTTAAAGGAATGGGTTTTTGTTTCCAAATCGAATGGCCCATTCCTTTTTTTATACCAACACTCCACAGTATTTTCCCCGAAGTCTGTGTTACTCTGCTGAGAAAAAAAATTGTACTTGTTTAGTATCCAGAACTTCTAATAATGTGTGTAGGAACATTTTACTGTTCTATTTTACTATTTTCAAAGGATAGTTGAAAAATTAGCACAACATTAACTTTAATCTAGAACAATTAAATTTAGTGGTTAAATGTCATGAGATACATAGCCTGAAAGAAAGAGAAGGAACTTCACTGTAACTTTGGTTGTCTGAATGAATTTATGCTATACCTGTCTTCTTTTTTTTTAGCTGTTGGATTGTCATTGCTTCCAATCTAAAAGAACTGTGAATTTTGTGCTTAGAATACTTGGAGCATAGTTTATTTTCTGTTTGAGTTACTACTCAAACAAAAAATTTGTTTTATTTTAAAATTTCATTAATTTTAAAATTTAAAATTTATTTTGTAAAGGCTTTATGAAGCCCTTGAACACCATTTTGAATTTTCTTCTCCTTAAGTAGAAGAAAAAAACCAGTGAATTCAGAGAGTTTTTCACATGCAGTTTATTCACGAGAAAGAATATTTCATTGGTCCACATTTGCAACATGTTCCGAGTCCAGGGTATTCTTGGAAGACAGGAATAACCACATCTATCTTTGATACAGTTTTTAAGAGCAAGGTAGATTTGCTCCATCCTTTATCACAAAGGTTAGCTTCAGGAGCTAGGAAAAATACTTTCTACATGGACTATGAATACGTAAGAGTAGCAAGAATGGCAAACTTCTACTAGAAGATAGCTAAAATGAAATCACTGATGATATGTAACACAGTCTTATTTCGTGGCAGATCTTTTTTGTTACAATGGTCTGAACCGATAAAATGGGGAATATATTTCCTTAAAAATGTGTATCCTTTGAGGATAGGGAACAAACTGCTATATATGTGTTATAGTAGTTATATTTACAGAATACATGTATGGAAAATGTATACACGGAGTAGCAAGTTACAGAAACACAGAACATTTAAACAATGAGCAACACACATGGGTTTGCAGGGAAATTTGCAAAGCTCTGAGACTGTGGCAGTGCCAAGTTCTCTGTCTCAGGAGAGGAAGAATAAAAGCTTTGTCTCTTCTGCAGACTGGTTTTGCTCTAGTTCACCTCAGGAGGGGATGTGAGCAGGTCCCATTTGAGCAGGTCACTGCTCAAGAAAGAGACCAGAGAAACAGAACCTTAGTGGCCTGGGACAGAAGTGTGTCACTGCTTCTTTGTGCAGCTGCTGCCTGTAAAGTCATAGAGAGCATAAGCTTGTAGATACAAGTAATGTGTTTTAGTGCACCAGCTAATAGAATGAAAAGAATGGAAAGAGCTTTAAATCAAAAAGATTTGTTTACTTGAGAGTCTGTGCATTTTTATCAGCTTTACCAGTTAATATAATTAAAGATGTTGCCTTGGTCTAAAAAGTTAGTCTTGCTTGATACAGGCATTCAGTTCAGAAGCTGCATGGTAAAGCAGGAAAAAGTCATGGAGGGGAAAAAAAAGGACTGTGGTATCAGGCTCAATGTTTCTACAGACTTCAGTGGCTACAAGGAGCCCCAGTTTCCAGCTGCCCCAAGGAAGCACAGAGAGCAGCACAGTGTAGTGGTGTCACTGCAAGGAGAGGACTAGTGCAGTGAGGAAGACAGGAAAAGAGGACATATGAATTGTTCTACAGGGCAGTCTTCCTCTGAGGATATCTTCAGCATGACTACAAACATCTTACAACAGGATGTGGTCATGTTAGATGCTTTGGTATCCTCTCCCATGTTAATTTGCAGCTCTTTTGTGTGTACTCTTCTTAATATGTACATTTTTCTCATTCTTGGTTTGAGCTGGAACTAGCGTTTCTCTCTTTTTTTTCCTAGCCATCTGATGAAGATACTCTCAGCTTTAACGTTCCAATGTCAGACATTGTGGAAGAAGATCATATTGTAAAGGACGACTCGGGTCATCATGCTAACTCAAGAAAAGGTTGGAATGTGAAAAACATGGAAGTTAAATACAGGGGAATTCTGTTGTTGATTCCATGTCTGCCTACCTACCCAGAAGGCCTTGGGCATGCATATGCAGTTGGTGAAAATGAAAGAAGTGTGYTGCTTAGAAAATCTGTGCTATACTGAATTGAGTACATCAAGTAATTTTCCATAGCAATTCCAAAGGACTTGTTACACCGTGTCTCAGGAGGTAATAAGGTCTCGTTCTCACTGGGGGAAGAAAAATTAAAGTTGGTTTAAGCCATGCTATCCATGCTACCCAACAACTAATAACTGATGTTCAGTAATTTAGCAAATGTGCAATAACAGAGGGTATATCTGTAGCTGGATTTAGAGTGTGTATGAAGCTTTTTTAGTTAGTTAGCATCATCTCTGGAAACAAGTAAATCTTCATATTTTGTGAGAAGTTTAATTTTATCCTAATTTTTTAATTTTTATTTTTCTAATTTACACTATAAGCAATGGTTCTATAAGTTCTGCACATACTGAGAATAAATGGCAGGATGAAGTCAGCAAGTTGCATATGAAAACTACATAAATAGGAGATAGCGTATCCTCAGTATTACTCAGTTAAATGAATTTTCGTTGAGATACTCATCAGAATTTGGTAGAATAGGAAGAGAGATAACAGGATTATATCCTACAGTGTTTATTAACAAACTGGAGAGGGTAAGTCATAGGATCATACTGGAAATAGTATATGTAGGCAAGAGGTTGGGACAGGCTCTGAAAAATTTTGCTGGGCAAGTGGTTTGATGATTTGTTGCAACATGGTAACTCTGAAATTGCATTCAATTGCAAGTCACTGCCTGAGACATCTGAATGTCTTAAAACACTGCACAGTTGTCCAGCTGTGTTTTTGTATTGGTATGGGCAAGACAGACTTGGTGTAGTTCAAAACTGGCTCCATCAATGTCTACTGTGTTGCTTCTAATATACAACTGTATATGCCCAGGGAATGGGTTTATTACCACTTGGAAATTAATTGACATCACTGTTTACAAAGCAAAGGTCTTAACCTGTTTGAAATTTTTAATGTGGTTTAAATTTAAAATTTGAGCTCTATAAATTAATACAAGTAAATTATGCTCAGTAATGAATGTTGAGCTGAACCAGAAATCATTCTTCTATCTTTTTTTTTCCTTGCTGTTCCTAGTGGAATTCCATCAAGGATCTTCTCATGTGTTTGTCGATAAGTCACGAGGAACAGGAAACCAGTTTGATGACTCGGATGCTCTTACTACTGAATTTATGAGCTACATTAAGGCAAGTTTGTGACAATGTTAAGTGGGGGACAATATTTTCACTACTTTCAAAAGTGCAGAGATAACAGAAATAAACAGCAGATATTTTAAGGAATAAGTCTGCAGCTGATATTCATTGTTTTAAAAAGATACAGAAAGCAAAAATAAGCAGGTAGGTTTAACATCATTAAAACTGATCTAGGATAATTTACCCATAATTCTTTCTAGGATATCAGAGAGTTATCCTTTAACTGTGTTTAAGGCTTTAAGAAAAAATGGTAGGTATGTTCATGCTTTATATCTTGAATTGAGAGATTTATTCTATTTTTTACATTGCTCAAATGCAAGATGACTTCCTGCTAACTGTGCTGGCTAAAGTTTTGAAGTAATGTTATGGTAGTAAAATAAATTTTCTTAATTTTTCAAACATTTTCATAACAGTTGATTGACCCATAAAGACAAATTATATAAAGTCACCTTCTAGAATAAGTGCTGCATTTTTGTTGTCTTATGGTATGTACATTTGTTATAGGAAAACATCATGGTCTTCATTCCTGTAAGGTGAAGAAAAATGAAAAACAGTGGCTTTATTTATTCTGCTAGGRATTGTCACTGGGAAATGAGCCATCATTGGAGAATGTTAGAGAAGCTGGTACACTCTTCAGTGTCACATACCACAGAATTGAGTAGAATTTATTGGTACAGGGTGATGCAGCTGGTGTGCTAAGCACATGACACAAAAGAGGATAAGCCTCTGTTTTCTGCTGTACATTCTCTACAAGTACAGACACACATTGATTCAGAGAGCTTCTTCACTGGCAGCTGAACTACTTCRGTGCTTTCGTCTGTTTGAGATGAAAGAGTTGCAAAACCACAAGTGGAAGCATAAAAGAGGCTCAATTTTCAAATAAGGATCACTTCATATTTATAGATGTGGTAGATCTAATTTATGACTACATTGCACCCAAAATAACTGGCTGACTGATATGGATTCCTGGATGCAACTTTTGTTACAATTTGTTTCTTTTAAAAAGGAAATGATTCATGACTGTCAAAACTGTCAAATATGAATCCTGTTAATAATTATGCATGAAATACATGATTGCCACTGTTTGCATGTTTGGAATTTCCTTGCTTTGTAAACATATCTGGCTGCAGTAGGAGAGCAAGTAGAGGAGAGTTGGGGTTGTGGTTAATTGAAGCATTGTTTCTGCATGCCAGAATGTCACAAATGGAATCTGGGGCATAGAACAAAGAATTCTTACGCTGCTTGAGTTTCTTTTTACAGTTAAAGGAGGGTAAGGGCTGTTGACCTCAATAATATCTTCTTGTAATCTTGTAATATAGTATTGTAATCAGTATCTTAAACGGGGGTAGAACGAGTAATGAAACAGAAGTGTTGGATTGCTTCAACCAGCAGCCTAAACTGTTGCATAAATTAGGTCAGTGCTGAGTCGAAAAGCAAAATTTATCTGCTTACTTAATTGCCAAGTTCAATTCTCATTATCACTTTTGTCTGGCTACAGAGCAGAGCAGCAGAGTGTGATGAATTATTGAAAATAGAAGAGGACACTCAATGGCAAGCAGACGAAATGTGAGTATTTTTTATGTATCTATAAATAATTAGCTGTGTCATTTCATTAGTTTGACCAAGACTGGTATTTCTTTGGTGTTTAATAATTTTGTAGGTTTGGAGGCATGACAAAAGCATAACCTTGCAATTCGTTTGTGCTCAGTCTTTTACATTTTATTCCTGAGCAAAGTGGATGCTAATTGATTTGTATGCCCAAATAATTTTTTATCTATGTGGAATGCATTCTTTTTTATTAGGTATTTTGATACTTTGTTTATTGAAGGCATTGCTGAAAAAAGATCATCAAAACTTGTTAGAGCTAAATGTAATGTACATTTAAAAAATCAATTTAATTAGGAAACATACTCCTTTTTTTCTTAGTTGTCATAATTTTAACCCTGAAGCAAACATTAGTTTAGAGATGTTAATTCCAGAGTAGAACAAGTGAACATCAGTTACTGAGACGAGTGCATAAGGAAAGAGAATTCAACATAACAATGTACTGTGAATTTGTCACTTGTCAGAACAGTGTAATCCTATATGATGAAAAAGAAACCCAAACCTGAAGGGAGGAAAGAATAAGTACTCTGAAAGCTCTGAAAGAGCCTTGTTGGTGGAACTAATGGGAAGTTATGTTTGTACTCTCCAAAAAGAATTACAAATGTTGAAAAGCAAAAGAAAGCAAGCTGGCCCTTATAAAAATTTACTGTGTTTGCTATTCATGCTGAAACAATACATGTGATGAGTGCATTTAAGAGTCAGATATTGGTAACTAAATATTCAKTTTTAGAAGTCATTCTGTTTAACTGAATGCTAAGTTTTGCTCAATCACATTTATTTGTGTATGTATTAGGTTGAGGGACTTTGTTAAGGACAAAGTGTCTGAAAGTTTTTTCAGAAGAAGCTCTTTCCATAAATTCAGCACATACCAGCATGCAGAGAGGCTGGTTTTCCCTCCTATAGTTTTTGCATGCCATTTGGAAGGTGGAGCTCACACACTGAAATTCAGACTACCCTTGATAATTGTAATTGTACCTTTTTTTTTTTGGAATGTTTTTGTTTTCTGTTATAGAATAAATTTATCAGAAGAACAAACTATTGACATAGCAATGATAGAACAACTAAGAGAAGCAGTAGATTTATTACAAGATTCCAACAGGTATGCTTACAATAGCTGATATAATATATAATAATACAATAATAATATAATGTGATATATTTTAAATATTTTTGTGAATTACATTACAGTTCTCTTTTAACTGACAACTGAAAGCTCTCTGGAGTTACTAAGTGCTTTGTTAGCATACCAGCGTGTGCAAGATAGGTAAGAAGGAAATACACATTCTGTGTTCAGTATCTAGACAAGATGCCCAATGAATGAAGAAGGTGTAAAAGAAACCTAAAATCAGAGGTGGAGACATTCCTTAACCATTCATCTTGTGTACACCACTGTGGTAMTCTGAATTTTTGTCTAGGATTATCACATTTGTTTTAGGGACTGTAAATTTTCCTCTTTCTCATGCTTGTTATATGTTGTTAGAATGAGGTCTTCTAACCTGTCTTCATGTCAATTCAATGAAGCCCACAAAGGAAACACCTGAATTAGTGGTGGAGTTTCTTTAGTCTTCTGAAATCCAAAGGAGAAAGAGGCAAAGAAAGTTATTTAGATTTTCCCTGACTACAGTAGGCAAGATTTTATATTTCAGATGCCTGTCTTAAGTGGCTAAAGTCAGGTGGAATGACTCTGGATCTGTGGCTAAACAAAGGAATAAATTTTTAAAAGAAAATACATGCTTGCCCTACTGGAAAAGTCTGACAATAATGTTTTCAGTAGTTCTGTCTGTCCAGATGCTTGCTATTGCTTTTCTTAGTGTAGTCACCTTCAGAAATTAAGTTCATTCTTACTTCTTTGAGGTAGCTGGTTTATAGCTTCATTTCTCTGACGATTAGAAACCTCCTTATCACTTCAGCCTTAACTATACTTGATTCTCTTTCCTCCCTTTAGAGCTGCTTGTTTTTATGACTACAGTATTCTTTATTTTAAATGCCTATTTTGAACTGCTTTTTCACCTAACAGATTTCTATACTTTCAGAACAGAAATTGAGTCCTGTCATTATTTAGAGAGACACAGTTAGCTGGCTTATTTTGTATCATGTAAAGATTGAATTCTTCAATCATATATTAAATATGTGAATCAAAAGTATTTTTGCTTTATAAAATGTACAAATTAGAAAATCTCTTTAGTTCCTTTAGCTTCCTAGCACCGTTGCTTCTGCTTCTCATCTGAGGCTTATTACTTGGAAGAGTGTTGGAGTTTAAAAAYGAAAAGTTCTGTTTAGGAAAAAAAGCACCAGCAAAAATACTTTAGTTGTTAGCCTAATAAATTTTGTCATTTTGTTTTTTGTTTCCAAACGTTACCCTAATATTTCCTAGATATTGAGATACTTATATTAAAAAGGTCAATAAAATACAGAAAATCTGTTTTTTTGTTCACATGCAGAGGTACTTTCATTAGTAATACTATAATTTGAAAAATTACTTTTAGAAGTGGTTAATCATGTCATGCATGTCTGTATTTCTCTGCTGTTTCTTTTGCAGTATGTTGAGGTTTTTGTGGCTTCACTTTCTTATTCTAACTTTAAAATATGGGCATTTATTTTTAATTTTCTGAGCACCATATAGACTTTTTGATATATGCCTCCTATATAGCATCTAGACCTAAGCATCAAGATACACCTGGGCGCCAAGTACTTACGAAATAATGCTATAGACTTTCAGTCCTCTGGGCCATGAGTTCTCATAATTTCTTTTCTAATTACTGGGTTTAATGGCATTTTGTTTTATACTTGCTTTATATAAAGCAGTGTGAGAATTTTTATTTAATTTTGAAGAGTTTTTGTGTTTATCCACAAGGAGGAAGGAATTTAAGTGCTTCTGTTGCTCCTTATTTTAAGATGCACAAAACTTGTAGTTGCTTTTTAACTTAAACCTAGAGCATGTAAAACATTACAGCTTTTCCCAAAGGCGTTTCCTTTGTGCATTGATATAACTCTGGTGGCCTAGTCAGGATACCTGAGTTGAAATAATTAACTCTAACCAGGATTATCTTCATCTGACACTGAAGGCCCTTTAGGAGTTAAACACTGCAGGGGCTGAAGCAGTTGGTGTTGCTAGCACACTTGATGTGCACTGACTGAAATTCTCTTCAAGCTGTTTTCCCTAGTGGGTGTGATTCTTGAACTTGTAAAATGCTTGTCCAGTTACTTCTCCAGTGGTTTGCAGAATTTAAAATCTGCATACCCATTGCATATAGACAGCATTTCATATCTGGAAAGGGAGGAGATTTCAGATTCAACCTTTTTCCATGTTTCAAATGTTTGCTTTATATTTCTATATTTGCTTTTCTATATTTCCTGCTTTATTTCATTTTCTGTTTCACTGCTTTATTTTCAGCCACTATAAATCAAGTGTGAATATCTAGGCAGTGGTCTGTGGTTTCCATTTGAACACTGGGTTAGATACAGAAATCTGCAGTCTTTTAGATAATGACATGGTTGTTGGTAGTGAACAGGTCCTTTTGTTTTGATACAAGCCTTTGCTCAGGGTGATATTTTGCAACCATGAATGTCGTTTAGACGCAAGTATCAGGAGGCATTTCCAAAAGCTCTTGAGAGCTGACGCTGAACAGGTTAAAATCATAACTATAAAAGTATTTAATGTATCCATTTGTTTAAAATTGAATACTGAATAGAATGGTTACCAAAGCTATAGCCCAATACAATGTTTTTATTTCAAATCTTGCAAATTAAGCATGGATATTTCAGAGAGCAGTGCTGTGAATATTATCCCACGGAACCAGTAACAGTTTTAGAATTTCAGGAGTCTACAGTGAAGTGTATTTATAAACCTTGGTTAGAAAAAAAAAATTGTTAGATGCATCATGTTCATGTTGCTACACAATGAATTACATATTTGCCTTTGTCTTTATACATAGTGGTCAAATAGAGATGGAGATGTCTTCTCTTGGTCAGGTATGTTAATGAGTGTATTATTACAAAATATTCTGGTGGGGGGAGACAGAAAATAAGTCCCCAGTTTCATCAATTAGTAATCTGCCAAGTAGAGAAGGTAAAAAGTTAAGTAGGTTGAAGGACAAAACTAATTCTTCTTTAACGTATTTATTGAATTGTTGTGGGGTTTGTTGGTTTGGTTGGTTTTTTTTCTGTTGTGTTTCTGTATATGTAATTTTTTTTTGCGTTTATCAATTACATTTTCTTTTGAGTTTCCCTGCCCTCTCCCTCTATGCCAGTTCAGCTATGCATCATCTACAATTTGACCCCCCTGTCTTCATCTTCTGGTGCAGTAAAACAGTATATTCATTAAAGATAACCCCAAAATATTGTGTAAAATAAAAACTAGTGGTTTTCCAGGGTACTGCCACTATGGTTACAGAGAGTATAGTTAAAGTATGGGGTTTGAGTTTTATATTGTGATATATGTTGCTTATTATTTGTTCTGTATCCTGTCTGGTGACCTGATGTTTTTTATGAAGTAGTTGGTTTAGATTTACATTATCCACCTGTTAGTGCTGGAACTGCACTTATATAGTATCTGTTTACTTCTCTGTCTGCTTTTCATCACAATATTTGTAAGAAATAGTCCAAGGTAATGCTATGCAAAAAAAAAAAAAGTTTTGTTTCCAGTGGTTTACAGACGGAAGAGTTCTTTCTCTTACAGAGAGAAAATGCTGAAGAGGAACTAGAATTCCAGAGGAGAAGGGAGTCGATTATGGAGAAAGCAAAGCCTGAAATGAGAACTTGTGAACAGGGAGAAAAATGGTCATTGAGCAAGGTATGGAGGTGTCCAGATGCCATAAATGTGGAAACACTTCGAATGGAATGGATCATTGCATTCTGTCAATTTGTGTGTGGGGATTTGTGTTTAGGCCCATTGTGGGGGTTGGGCTTGATTTTCTTTTTTTTCTTTTTGCCTTAACATGAATCTCATGATTTGAATATAAATGGAAAGTTGATTAAGACCTATCCCTTAGGAAAGAATTGATATAATGCATTTATTGAAAGTATTTTTATCCCATAAAGAGGATAGTAGTTGCAGGGATTGCATTCCCCTGGAAAAAATGTCATCTCAAAGTTAGACCTTCAAGAAAATGAAATAGTGATTCCTCTTCCCTCCTCATCCCAAATATTCTTGTAGTTATATAAGCTTCTAAGTTTATATTAACAGCAGTATTTTTCTTGTTTTTAATATTGCAAATAGACTATATATCGGTTGAGATGGTAGTTTTAAAGTTTAAAAAATATTTAAAGATTTGTACACTGTAATGATCCAGAAATTAAGAACTAAAAAAAAAATGTTTGGAGCATATGTTACTGCTTCAGAACTTGCTACATAGGGATTTTGTGACTGCTCTTTGCAAGCATATTTTGACAACAAAATCACAGAAGATGCTGCCCGTATTGGCAGTACCTTAATATTGTCGGTTGTATCCAGAAATAGGTTTTTCTTGGTTTATCTTAGCTTTTCAAATATTATGTATGATCATCATTACTATCCAATGCTCCTGTGAAAATCTTGTGACTTTGTTAATCTTAATTTTGTCTTTGCTTTTTCTTTAAAATGTCAAAACAACTTAGTTGGGTAATCTCCATTGTTATAATGTTGTACACTGGAATTACCACATTTTATTTGGAGCAGCTCTTACTTCATTGTTGAGATTAACAGATAAGGCTAACTCAGGGTCAAAGTCTGTGTGGTCTCTGTATTTGTCATGAATTTAGCAAAGATACACCACTAATTCACCTCTTCCTGAACACTTGTGGGGGTCTGATCTGGGCTGTTTTATGCGGGTGAAAATACTAGGCATAATCTGTGAAGTGAAAACACATCCTGCAAGAGCAAGTTTTTAATCAGGCTATGTTCTTTGTAGTGCAATGAGCACTCGTGTTGCTGCTTGTGTTACTAAATAAATTCAATTCAGCATAAAATCARAATTCTGACTAGGGTAAAATAGATGTGCTCAAGCATTGAAGTCCCCAGGTAGAACTGGCTGGGATCAGATGAGTAAGATTTCTCTCTGTTTATTCCAGGTAATAGGGTGGTTGGGCTAATATTATGAAAGATGTCTAAGGCTGAAGAATTCTTTTTTAATCTTGAGAAGTGGCCAGGAAAGGCTGTGAAGCAAAATGGAAGTGTAATCTTCCTTCCCATCTTGCTAAATTTTGGAAAGCTCTGTGGCTGTTGGGACCTAGTGTTCCAAGTGCTGTCTTTTGTTTCCATTTTTTGTCAATTGAAAAAAAAAAAAGTCCCTAAGGAAATAGTTTTGAATTAAATTATAATTGGSTTTTATTTATGCCAGTTATCTTTCTGTGGAGTTATGCTTGATGTTTAATTAATGATTTTATGTTGTATTTATCAATGTGGTGTACACATGTTTTCAATGTAACTATAACAGAAGTGGTAACAAAAGGTATGTTATGTTACAATTATAAATTAGATCACTTACAGAATATTTCTCTCTTCAAATCTATATTGAAAATCTATATTTGCAAATTAAACCTTTGTGATAGTTTAATTAAAAAAATGCAGCCAACAAAAATCAAATTCTTATAAATGCAGTTGTAATTCCTTAGTATTGAAGCTAAAAAGTTAATGAGGAATCTGTGTGAATAATTTCCACATGCTTTTCAAAAAAATATTCTTCAGTTAGCAAAAAAAGTATTTATTATACATGCAATTTAATGTTTTCAGTGAAAAAATTAAGTATTAATGGGTATCTGACTATAATTCGTAAAATGTCTCATTGCAGTGTATCACTAATATAGTTTCTGAAATGTTTTCTTTTTCTTTTCTTTTTTTTTTACTTTCCAAACATGCAGAATGATCTAATTGTTTGGAACACAAGTGGTCAAACCTCTCACAATGAGGTAAGATGTCATTTGTTTGTCTCTTTTATTTTTTATATTAATATTTCATATACTAAATGAAACATAACTGAATTCCAGAGAACATATTACTGAGCTTGTTTGTTTGGGGTGTGGTTTAATCTTGTCGTCTCAGAGATTTATTAGGGTATAAAAATATACTTTCTGATCAGCTTGTTTGAGTTATGCAGTTTAGTATAAAACATTTAAATTTTTTACATTTTCTCCATTCGGACACGTTTTTTTAACATTCCTTTTTTAATTCATCCTTGTTCAACAAGATTTTCTATTGATTTCAGTACAATTTCTTTTTGCACAGTTGTCATGTCCTTGATTACTTTTCATAGAGGAATCTGATCTGATTTTATTGATCCTGTAGCTTTCTAGTGCAAATCTCATTGGAAGATCAAAAAGGAGAAAACTGTATAGAGTCCTTATGGAGATTTTTTGCCTTTTTTTTTTTTTTTTTTTTTTTTTTTTTTTTTTTTTTTTTTTTTTTTTTTTTTTTTTTTTTTGTACAGAAATAGGGCTTCTCCCTTTATGGCATTGGGCATAAGCATCTTGCAAATTTGAGAACACCCAGCTGCCTTCCACCAGTCTTGGTGATGGGACTTCTGTAGCTCCTAGCTCCCCACGGAATCACTTTATAATTGGGATTCCCATTATGGAATTTGGTCATGGGACTCTTCCTGTGTTATTGTTGGTGGTATGATCAGACCTCCCGTTCTCCTGTATAGTGCTGCTCATCCTTCCTGCTGCAGCTCTTGGCCTAGTTCAGGGTTAAGGGAGGTCCTGCTCTGAGGCATATGCGTAATTTCCTCTTTTCTGTTTTTAATGCAGAAATTCAGTGTTGCATGAAAAATACCATGCAGAATGGTAATTAATTTTGTGAAAGAAACAAACATGTCTAAGGAAAAAACATGCATTTGCTTTGTTTTTCTAAATGTACTCTGCCACGAAATGTATATTTGATGGAACCAAGTGATGGCATGGAAGAAAACTGAGAAATAATCAAGCCTATTTATAACTAGGGGGAATGTCTTTCTGTCTTTTTTTAGAAACTCATCTTTTCCAGCTGAGGAATAGGGTGCAATAAGAAGGGAGATTATCATAGGTTTATGGCTATATTGTCATCAGATTATGGTGGAATAGCTGTAGCATGTTGTGATGTTAACTTTTGCATTTTGCATAGTCAGATATGCTGAGATATTCTGGGTCTTACTCTTACTTCGTTTAATTTTCTTGAATTACACAGAATAAGGATAAAAGTCCAACGTCTCCTACTACAAACACCACAATCCCTTTTGGCCTGAAGCCACGATCAGGTAATGTGAGAAAAGAATTTATGTTTGGGTAAGAAACTATTGGTTTTGGTTTTTTACATCTCTGTTATTATTAGATATCTCTTATTTTTCTCCCCTTAAGAAATAAGCAATGTAATATTGTCTGTGCAACAGGTAAAAGAAGCTTGGAACATTTTGAGGTTTTCTAGTTTTGAATCAAGATGGAATTTTTAAGAAGTATGTATTTGGCACATTATATATGGATCAATTTTCATCCATGACTAGTAAATTGGGTGTTTACGAAGTTGTATGTATATATATTTTTAAAAATATGTGTTTGGATATAACTGCACAAATTTTATATGTATATACATATTTATCATGTCTGCTGACATTCTAATTGAAGTAAGATTTTTGCTTGATTGGTATGTAGTGATACAGTTTAGAATTTGTTGAATAATGTATGTGAATAATTAGGCTATTTTGGAAGACACTTGTGTTGCTCAGAAAATTTTTCACTTCATTGAGTCTGTCAGTAGCTATGCTTGAGTAAAGATCAAACATTATGGGAAGGTTAGATCTTTACTTCAGCCAGCAACTGAGTTCAATGAATTTGCAATGCASTGTATCTGCAAAACCACCACTCTTTTAACAAGCAGCAGTTTATTTGAAAACAAACAAAACAAATAAAACCTAGAAACAAGTAAGAAAAAAACGGCTCCCAAATTTAGAGATGTATTTGATGATTTGGATAACAGCTTCCTTTAAAAACAGGATTATCAGGATTTAATTCTGTTTTTGTCTTCTCTGTGCTGAGGTAGTCAATATTAAGTCATCATGTCACCTCTAAAGAGTCGGTATAGGTTTTCAGTATGTTTCAGCGTCCTGTGACTGTAGTTCAGTTTCTCTCATTCACCGCRAATTCTTTTAATCAAGTGCTGGTAAAGCCCTACAAGCTTGTAGTTTCCATAACAAAGTATTTGGCAATAATGGCAGCAGTTTGTGAAACTGCTTGTGAAACACTGTGAAAATGTTTATGAAATTGTACCCATAGATTTAGTTGTTTTTTGTTGGTTTTTTAAAATTGTTATACAGCTTTTTTTTATGAAGGAAGATCCTTTAAGTTTCTCATGTAATTATGATACACAGTTAGATATGTTCAGTTGCATTATGTAGGTTGTTGGAATGTTAAATTGTGGCTGTCTTGTTCCTGATGATTTAGAAATGTTGGTATTTCTACATATATTTAAAATATGGGTTGAATGATGAGCAAATGGGTCCTTTCAGGATTTATTGAAAGTAAAACATTGAGTAATATTGCATAGTCCAGTGGCAATATTGCAATATCACTGTTAGGAAAAAGATGTGTGAAGACAAAGATACTCAGGCCATGTTGCTGCTTTCATGGGATGTGGCTGTGTTCTGAGTCTGCAGTGAAATCTGCTGCTGGGATCTGGAAGTTCCTTTGTGAAAGAATATGCAAGACTGTGACTTCTAGTTCAAGTGTTAGTTTACCATGTACTTCTGAATCTTGGCATATCCATGCCCAGATTTCCTGTACTTAATGACTAGAATAGATCAGGGCAAAATAGCCTATTGACTGTTTTTTGAGAGAATTTCTATAAAGACGAGATTGCAGTCTTTGCAGTTGATTGTAACAAAACCTCCCAGTCACATTGTCCAAGACCAGATGTGCACAAGTCTTGCAGTTCTTCCCCTGGTTATATTGCAGCTGTGTATAGCCTCATTGAATATCACAGTCAGTTAGTATAGAACCTGCTGATGTTCTGCATTGTACTAACTCAATTTCATACATTTTAATAGCTTTGAGTATACCAGTACTGTAGTGTCTTTTGCTCTTGTTTTCTTTTCTATATGAGATGCTATAGTCACCAAGATAGACCCATTACTGCACAGTTTCTCACCTGATCACATCTAGTTCATTTTACCTTAAATTTATACCCTGGTAAGATAGTGGAACTTGGCTGTAGTAAAACTTAGCATCCAGTTTCAGATAAAAATAGAGAATATTTTTCAGTTAAAAATGCAGTATGCAGCTATGTAGCACTGTGTAGCAAAATGAAACCTTGCAAAGGCGTAATAAAGCTGCATATTGTTTCATCCTCTGCTGTTTTGCTAACACTTAAGAAATATTGACAGAAAGAGTAGTACATAACAAAATGCTGGCATGTTTGTGATGCCTGCATGTTTTTCATTTTAAAGCTGGTTTGCTTGCAGAAGAAACTTGTAGTTTCTTCATTATATTTCCTTTAAAACTTTGTGCAAGTTTTGTGCTTTAGAACCATCCTATCACTGGTTAGAATTTGTGCTTGTTAATAATATACTGCTCTATTGCCATAGACCTGAGCTAGTGCTGAGGTGTAGCATTTCTGTGATCCAGGAAAGTTTTTTAGCTTACTTTGTAGTTTATTTTAATAGTTTTTCATTTCAGTTCTTAATGGCCTGAGAGAAAATGTTAAAACGTAAGCTCTAATGAAGTTAAATAGTCTTAATGAGTTGTAACTATTTAACTTTGTTAGGGCTTGCATTTGAATTAGTTGCTTCTCTAAATCTCTTAAATCCAAGTGCAACATTAAAGGAACACTGAAGTGTTCTAACTAAAATGAGTTCATGGGCAGTCTAACTAAAATGAGTCCATCATGCTCTGTGGAAAAAATAGTGGCATATTTTCAATGAAAATATATGTGACCATATTTTTTTCTGAAATTTGAGCATTTATTTTCACTGTGTTTATTTTCATCTGTTAACAATGAATGTTGCTTTCTATTTGACTTTCCTCCTCCTCATCGTTTCATAATGGTTTATATCTCTTGGAAAGGTGAAAGTAAACTGTTCTAGACTTCCGGTAAAGATTCCAGTTTTTTGAAGTACACACACAAATGGAAGTGCTTCCAGAGGATAAACCACAGTGGCTTAAACTTCTGTGTTAGTACATATTGATATGTGTTCAGGACTGAAGGTGCTTTCATTTTTAAGCTAGGCAAAAAATTGGGAAAATTCATTTCGGTGGCTGACAGAAAGTATCCAAAGAAAATGTTTTGARAGGTAATGACTGTGTTTTGATTTCTTGAAAGGTTTTTTCAAGGGTCAGAAGTTTACATTTAAAGGTAAACAGAAGGTTTTTCTAAGTTTTCAGATTATTTCCTTCTGTATTTTACTTATTTTCAGAGGGTATTGACTTTTCAAATTCACAATAATTTTGAAAACCTTAAAAAAATACCATTGAAAAGAAAAAATTTTCTTTGAGCTCCAGTTTTGCTCTTGGAAAGTGCATTAGCTTTCTAAAAACAAATCACTTAAAATAGCTAATAAATTTAAATTCTTCATCCTTCATCCATGAGTCGATTAAAGGTGCTAATTGTTGAAATTGAGTGTTGTTAAGGTCTTGTTATGGTATCTTTAGTATGCTAGGCCTTCAAGTGTGAACAGCTACTAATACATCTTGCAATCAAGAGTAGTTTTTGTTTTTGTACTCTGATTTCTAGGTCACTGTGTTTCTTAGTTTCTGCTTTACAAAGTGACAGCAACACAGAAAAAAATATGTACTGTCACAGGCTGAAACAAGCACTGACAAAACTCGAAGTCACAAAGCACTTTGTTTTCTGAAGTGAGAAGTTGTTCCCTTGCAACTGTTTACGTACTATAATATTACTTGTGAATCTAGTGCCTTCAGTTTGGGTGACTTGTAGAGAAATTGAAGCACAATATTAGTATCTGTGGTAGACATGCTTGTATTTCAAGTTAGTTGGAACACATAATGATCATTGAAACTTGACAGTATTTTTCTCTCATCTGAGTGCTAGTTACCGTTTTCTAATCTCTGGATATTTATTCTTTCCATTTATTTTCTTCCCTAACTGCATTTTCTGTGTACTTTGGAAAATAGTTGAGAATCCCAATTGCTACCAGAGTCAGACTGTTTATCTTTTGCCATAAATCTGTGTTCTGTTACCCAGTGTGGACTCTACTCAGAGTTTAAGTTTTGCTGACTCTTGGGTTCAGCTGATCTGGTGTTCCAATAGCCAGAAGCAGTGACCCAGCCTTGTAAAAAGTAAAGGGAGAGAGCTGTGGAACTCTGAAGAGAAGTTTAAGGTGAAGTTTGATGTGGCACTCTCTGAATTATCATCATGTTAATACAGATTCCAAAATTGTGGGAAGGCGACATCCTTCTAAATATTAGCTTGGAATTGTAGAAAAGTGGGAATTTCTGTACTTACTAGAAGTTTACTTTGGACTTTCTTCTAATATTAAGTGGTTTTAGTTGCTTTTAGGTCTACACAGTAATCTTAAATTGATTTATGTTTATGGTTTCGCATTTAGAGCGGAGGTAGTTTATAATCTCTAGTTTTGTCTGAGGATCRTGAATGTTGTTTGAATGTAGGATTCAGTAGATAAACATGGAGATACATGTAGGAAAACAAGAAATAACTGAATTAATAATTTTTATTGCAGAAGTTATAAGGAACTTTGTGATCAGATGCAGGCAGAGTTCATTGAAGAGCAGTATCATTGTGAAAGGCAGAAAAGAAATTTAAATCTCTCATAGAAAATAGGAAACCAGTGTGAAGCTTTGAAAGGATGGGTGACGTGCTGAAGAGATTGAGGAAGGAGATATTTTAAGGGTGTCAGTATCCAGCTCTGAAACAGCGTAGAATGGCGGTTTGAGGATAGCTTGCCCAGGAATCCTTGCCACAATCAAGACAAGAGACAGAAGTGCAGAGTAGTTGTGGTGGGGAAGGAATAAAAATTTCTACTGAAGGATTTGAGGAACAGTAATTGGTGGTGTTGTGACTAGTTGAAGGAGAGAAGGCAGAATGGAGAAAGAGAGCAGGGGCTGTGTTGCGTCCTAAGTTTAGCTTCATAATAAGTTCATGGGCAGTCATGAGCTGTAGGCATGACATGCTTTTACAGTCATTGGGTGAATAGTCTGGAATCTATTGTAACTTCTGTGGAAATGTACAATTTTGTGTGAATCAGTGGACCCAGTCAAGTCAGTTGTGTGAATGAAGTTGTGTTTGTTA